GAAAGAGCATGTTGAACTGATTTTAGCATGCACTACAGGCTAACCTTAATGAAGAGAATTGCTGGATCTAAATGGTGATGTTCTAGAACCACTCTTGATTTGACATACAGCTTCTATATTCCACCTCTTATTACTTACTGTTGCGAGCCCCTCATGACAGCATCTAACTAAGTGATTGATATACTCAAAGGATTTCACAACCAAGCTCTCCAACTTATCACTGGTGTTATTAAAACCACCCCAGTTGATGCACATTTACTAGCTACACAACATATGTGCATTAAACCCATTATGGAGGAAACAGCACTAATCTTAAGGGGAAATGTTTAAGAGAACCAGATTGCTCTTCACTGAGGACTTTTGCTGTTTACCAATGAAGAGAAACCTTAAAATTCAGTATGCTTTTTTTTTTTTTTTTTTTTTCAGGCACTCTTTTCCATCAGAGATCAGCTAGACCTTAGACGGGAAGGCGAAAATTTTTAAACCACAATGTCCAACAGATAGAAAATATGTAGCCAAAATTAATCTGCTACACAAAATCCTCAAAAAAAAAAAAAAAAAAAAAAAAAAAAAAAAAATGAACAAATGACCAAATTTTAAAATCTATGTCTTTAGAAACCATTAATATTATATTCTGACAGTGAATGGCTACATAGGCTACATGGCTCTGTGTTGGCTGATAGTATTAATGCAGGAGCTAGCATCTTTTGCAGATTTGTTTTCATTTTACATTTCATTTTACAATCTTGTTGGAAGGAATAAGACTGCTTTTGATGCTGAGGTTACAGCCATATGCATAGCCTTATCCCAACTCTGTTACCTTGAACATTTTTTAAAGGCTGTCATACTCTTTGATTCTAAAGCTGCTCTTCAAGCCACTTCTTTTGAATCTCAAACATCTGTTGATGGTTTTAAATGTCAGCAGTTACTAAAAAACTTATCTCAGGATGGCAAAGAAATTGTCATGCAATGGATAACATCACACTGCAGTCTTCATGGAAATGATAAAGCAGATTTGTTGGCAAAGAAAGGGTCCAATATTCTCCAAATAACTAACCACGTCCTTTTTACACTGACAAAAGGGTAATCAAAAATTACTACAGAGAAGGTTTTTGGAAAATTTTGTTACTAAAAGGAACAGTCATAAAGTATGAATTAACGGAATTTTTAGCATTCCTTTAGGGCCCAGAAAGAAATCTGTTGCTATCATTCATCTTGTTACTGGCCATGATAGTCTTTTAAAACATCTGCGTCGAATACGTCTCAACCCCAATTGGTAAACTGTGCAATCTTCATGAGGAACTGGATACCTCACATCCGAGTTGTTGCCCTAAACTTAATGCTGGATCACTCTGGGAAAGATATTGGGAGGTGAGACACAAGATAGATTTATAGATTATATTGTGGGCTCTTTTTTTTATCTCTCTTTCCTTATTGCTTGTTGGGTATGCAGCTGTCTTTGTAATCTGGCATTAGAAATATTTTTTAAAAATATTTCATACATAATGAGTAATGGGGTTTGCTACAAAAACACGTATCACAATTATAGCAGATATTAATTTTTTTAACCTACAAACAAATACATCTTAGCAATTATACCTGTAATGATTCTTTTAGTCATGGTTATGTAATATATAAGTTGCAAAAGCTATTATAACTTTTCAACCTAGAATTTCTTGGTCATTTAAAAATGAAGGACATGAAATTTACAATTACAAATTTCTATTTCTTTGACTATTGAATTAATATAAAAGTAGTAGTAACACAACAACCTTGAGTTTAGCGTAGATTTATGTTAAGATCTCGATCGACTGAGATAATCACATAAACCCAAACTCAAAATTGTTGTGTTACTAATTTGTTTCATTTGGCATCTTTCTCTTCTGTTTTTATTGAATTAATATAAGCATAAAAGGCAACTGCTTTTTAATCATAAAAACAACTGCTTTTTTATATCTTGCACTACCTTAAAAATTTTAATTTCCTAAAAATGGCATCTAATGAATTCTGAATAAGCACCTGAAACTTCAATTCTTTTTTATCTCTATAATGACATGGATATATTCAAGATTAAAAAGTAACTCAGCAGTAACTAACTTATTTAATTTACATTTTTGGTATCATAAAAAAACTGCAATTTTGTATTTCTGAAAATATTTAAAAAATAACAGAAACCATTTTTAAAAAAAGTGAAATTTATTATCTGTAATTAGCACCTCTGCCATCTAACAATGCATTTTAGTTCAATGCTTTAAATATTTTTAGGCCCAATATGCCTTCATTTGTGTGCTTTAAACATTAATTAATGTACACCTTGCAAAAAAGGGGGGGCAATTCTGTATCTCCTGTTCTATTAGATCGATTGTCAAAGTTTAATTTGCGCTTTCTATGTCTCAAAAGTGTGACTTAGGATATATATTAGATTAATAGCATTGTTCTAACATAAATATTTTGACACAAAACCGGACTTTTTCTGAAATAACATGACAATTTATTTCCCTATTTTGATTCTATGACATAAATTATGCTGAAGTGCCAAGTTTTGTAAAAAAAGCATGAGTAGTTTTTAAAAAATTAGCTCTCAAAATTTTAGCTCCTCAATGTTAATTGAATTTGGTACATACTTATTAATATCTTTTTTTTTCACATTTCGAAATCCAGGTTCATTCCAAATAAAATTTGCCCATTTTTTATGATTTATTTTTAAAATTTGCATTTTTAAAGAAATTTTACAAATTTTTCAAAAAAATTTTGAATTATAATCCATAAAATCATCCTCTTAAAGTAGATGCATTTCTAAGCATACCAGTAAAAAGATAAAGAGTTTTTTATTCAAAATTTCTTAAGATATATTTGAATTTACATATTGGCACATTTTGGAATTTAGCATATTTGTTATAAACGATAATAACACCAATGGTTTATGTCCTTTGTTTTTAAAATTATTTGAAAGAATGAATGGTGACCGTTTTCTCACTCGTGTACAATGAAAAACAGTAAAGGAAAATATGTTGCTATACTTTTAAGAAGTTAGCCAAGTGAATTATTCTTAGTGAAAACTGGAAAAAAAAAATGTGCCAGGATAAATTTTTAAATTTCTCCATAAATTTCTCATCAAAAATTACAAAATTCAATACCTAGGCATAATCTGAATCGTAGAATCGAAATATGGAAAAAAATTGGTATGTTATTTCAGAAAAAGTCCGATTTTGTGTCAAAATACCTATGTTAGAATAATGGCATATATCCTTAGTAGCGCTTTCGAGACACGGAAAACGCAAGTTAAATTTCGACAATCAGTGCAGTAGAACGCTTTAGCGCACATAAAACTTCTACTTACAATGAACAACTACCACGTGCGAATAAAGTGCGATTTAAAGAGACGTCATAAATCACGCCATTCGGAAACATTTAGTTCCCCATTTGTTTATATAATCAAAAACACGTGTATGTGAGTCATGCTCCTCTCATGTCGAGTAGAAGGTGTAATGTACATGTATCTGAAACCATATGGACATACAGTGCCATCTTGTGGCAGAAATTATAGTTTCTAAAACGTTCTAGGACACTGGCACAAATACGTGACAGTCGGTAGTAAACGGGAAAATGCTCTGGCACGCCTGCGTGTCGGCCGGGAGGTGAGTGTGTTCGTTGCTGGCACATAGACGTGACAGTCGGCGCGAAGGGGTTAATGAATAATTCAATGCAATGCAAAAGCAACAAATATCAAGAAATTTCAGTGCATATATCAGCATATAACATTTACTGGATTTTCATTCTAGCATTTTTGCAAGGGTAACTTCATTGGAGGAAAAAAAATCTTGGAAAAGAGATGATGAGATAAGAATGATTGTGAAACTATGTTCTGAGGATTAGATTTATTAAACTTACTTTTGGCTTATAATATTTTTAATTATAGTAGTAGATTTAAAAGAACACGATTACATATTAAACTAACGAACAACTATTTACAGAAAGTTCTTAAAATGGAAAAATAAAATCAGTTTTAAAATAAGAGACTAAACTTATTTAAAATTTAAAGTAAAATAACAATGGTATTATTTAATATCCAGTAAAATGTCTAAAGTTCTCGCATTCACATTTCACAGGAGGAAAACTATGAAAATTTTCATGTAGCCAATCCATTCACCAGAACTGGAACCCAGTTTTTCATGGATAGGTATGTAGTTAGCAAAGGACTCCCATTTTTTTAAAGAAATTTTTAAAAGTCCTATATACGGCATGAAGAAAATCATGAAAATAACATATAATCGAATTAAAATATGATTCAAAATTAAAATAAATTTCAATGACTTGATTGCCTAGTTGGCAATGGATCCCTGGACCAATATCATTTGGTCAGAGCTACAGAAAAGAAATGACACCGAAAAACTTTCCTACCACTAAAGGAAGAATATGCTTATTAAATCAAAACTGATAATACAGAAATAGACCAGAAGTTGCTACAGATATTCTATTAATTCTGCTACAGTGAAAGAAAAATATTTCAAATAATTATAATAATTTTACAATTACTAATAAAAAAATTATGTGATGACAATTAATGAATATTCCAAAAATCTGAAATTCTTATTTTAGAAGGGAAATGATAATATGAACTCCACTTAACAAATAATATTACAATAATACTACAATTTATGAAATTTACAAAATCTGATTAGGCAGCATGATTTTGTCAAATAAATTTTAATAACAATTCAATCAATACCAAAATATTTAAAATTCAAAAACACCCTAAAATGAAAAATGTGATAATAAATAAATATAAAAATAAACACAGTACAGATATTAAAATGTTATAATAAATCCTTTGTTTATGCTTATCTTAATTTAAATGTAAAAGCAGTATTTTTTTTTAAGCAGAAATACAAAAACATGGCTATTAAAAATGGTAAATATTCTGTTAGAGATTTTAAAATTTAAATTGTAAACATGGTATGTTACAACAAAGAAAATATTTAAAAAAACTAGTTCCATACTTGATGTTCATGTATGAGTTCAAAAGGAAAAAGACGTTCACAAAATTCACAAGGTATTTCATCAGTTTCTGAAATATAGTAAACAACAGATATAAGCATGAGGAAAATGCACAGAATTTCAGTCAACAGATTTAAAGAACAGAAGCATTAATAGATAATATCCAGGGTATTTACAGCCTGGATATTTTTGTGATGTATTTAAGAAAGTATACATATGTGCATTTTGAAACATGTTCCATAAGGCAATATATTAAAAGTATATAAATACAGTTATAAAGCACAAACGGCCTTTTCAGTATAAATGATTTTTATCACATATTACACATACTAGCACAGCTCAGAAAAAGGTAAACATATATGTCAATAACAGAAAAACTGCTGATGCAGTGCACCAATATTTGCATTTTTTTTTTTTTTTTTTTTTTTTTAAAGTAAGTTAAAGCCATATACTTATGAAAACAGTTTCCCATGTTTAAAAACAAGATATATAATCATCTCTGGTGATTACTGTAGTGGAGATTCTTCAATCCTTGATCTTGTTGAACTATATTATCAAATCATTAGGTATCAGGTAACCAAAATTTTTTAATTATTTAAAAATGAGTTTTACTTTTCTACATTTTAATAATCATGAATACTGAAAAGGTTTTATTTACTATTTATAGTTTGACAGTTAACTGAGTCCTCAAAAAAAATTAAATGCAACCATTAACAAAAATACTCCTTCTGATGATGCATTACAGCACTGCTAAAATCCTAAAACTGTTATTTTTTATTACTTGAAATGTTTCAGTCTAACTCTCATTTAAGTTTTGGACTTGAACAGCAGAACTTTGAACAAGAAATTACGTTTGTTTATAGAATTAAAGAGAAAGTATTAGCACATAAAACAAAGCAACTTAAACAACTTACATTGAAAGAAATGTTTAATTAAGTAAACAAATAAATATTAAGCTTTTTTTTTTTTTTTTTGTAAATTTTGATACCCTTTTTTGATCATAATTTCTCTTTATTTCATAAATTACAGTTTTATATTTTTAATTTGATAATTTCTGCAAGCCATCTTACCAGATTTAAATTGATGATCTATAATCCGGAAAAATTGAATCGCCGAAGTCCCGATGCGTCCGGATTAAAGACTTTGTACTGTATTATAATTGAATAAATGGAACATATATTCCACATATTTAATTAACTAATACTATGCATCCTATCAAAGTGTTGAATGCAGTCATAATATAGATTTATAATTATATATATTAAAGAATTCAGTTAATCTTTGGATTATGGTAACTTGGCGAAAATTTGGCGACCAACCCTGCTACAGCAACCTGCTAGTTTTTGGTTGGATGCCATTTTGTTTTCACGAAGTAAAGAATTTTTTTTTTTCCCAACAATCTGCTAGCCGAATTACGCTTATGCTAGAACTTTTATGGAACAAAAGTGCTTAATCATGATGAAGATTAGATGCGAAATTGGGAGAAAGTGCAGAACCGCAAACTGCTTGTCGCATTTTTAAGAATTGCACATACACGGTAACCATGTATACGTCAACCTATTTTCACTTAAAAAAACATCCCAGAATTGCACAAAAATGGCATTGCGCACACTCTTGACTTTATCCATGTACACTGCTCAAGTCCTAACTAGTACCTTTACGCCTTACCAAAATGTCGCCAAACTACCTGTTACCATATTCCAAAGATTAGCCAAGAATTCTATAGAAGACTTCCAAATTCTTTTAAAATATAATTTTTATTTAAAAAAAAAGAAAAACTTTTATTTCTATATTTTCACTCTCTAATACATATATTTCTCCCTCATGAAAATTACTTAATCATGACTTACCCCCCAACACATCATCATAATCATTCAGATCAGAATAGATTGCCATTGCCAAAACAGCTCAGCTATAAGCAAATAAAAAATACTTTAAACAAGTTTCTGATGTGAAATGTAACATAACAAGATAAAATTATTATAAACATAAATATAGATAATATAAATATTATTATTATTATTAATATTATTATAACATAATATAATAAGAATAAATCTAAGAAAGAAGGTAAAAATAAATTTCAGGCTACCCCTTGGTGAAAGTTGGCAATTTTTTGGCATCATTCCTGTTTATGTCCAACGCCCTCCCCAGTAAAATGGTGTCCAAAACAAAATTAAAAGAAAAAAATATATAATCTCAAACTGCAATTTAAATCAAACAAGGGAATAACATAAGAACTGAAATAAATGTTAATGTAATCTACACAATACAAAAAGGAAATACCGACTTATTTAAAAATTTCTGTTTCTTTGATATGTGAGACACACAGAATTCCAAAAACCATTTAAAATTATCTAAACTAAAATCTGTATACTGCTGTCACCACATAAATTCACAAAAGTAAAAGTGAAAAATATTCTCTGTACTGGCGGACTGTCGATGGCATTTCTTTCGAAAATCCCTTTTTATTACACCCCACATACCATCCATAGTATTGATATGAGCTCCAGTTTCCAAATCCTCAAATCTCACTGCATGATTTACCGAGAGATGAATGAAGTCATTTAAATCTTCATTTACACACCAGTCAATAGATATTTTATTTCCCAGTCGTTTAAAATTGTACAGAAACTTCAGCTTAATTATACCACCAGCAAGCATTTTAAGACATAAAGCAAAAAATAAGCAATTCTAATCAACATCCAGCATATAAATAAGCCCTTACAAATATTTTCCCATCAGTCAAATTCACCACAATCACGCAACCAATCACGTCATAATAGGGTTTGCATAATGTTCTGCTCAGGTTATTATAAATGAAACAACTTGGGATCCCCAAAGGGTACCCTAAAATATAGACTAACCAAAAAGAACTATAAATATAAAGTAAAATTAAATTCAAATACAAAAATTAAAATACATTTTATTACAAAATATAAATACAAAAGATAAGTTTTCCTTGCTTAGTATCCCTTTATAAGACAAGTTTCAATATCATTCATTTTATTTGCTGCAAAGACATGTACACTGCACCCCCCAAAAAAGGGGGACAGTTCTATTATCTCCTGTTCTACTGGGCTGATTGAAAAATTCAAATTGTGTTTTTCATTTTTCGAAAGCGCGACTTAGAATATATATTATATTTACACACAGAATTGTTCTAATATAGGTATTTTGTCAGAAAATTTGACTTCTAAAATGACATGCTAATTTTTTTCAATATTTTGATTCTATGACTCAAATTATGCCTAAACATAAAATTTTGTTAAATTTAGTGCGAAATTTATAGAGAAATTCAAAATACTTTGCCACATTTTTTTTTCAGTTTGGGCAAAGAATAATTTACTTGGCAAACTTCTTAATTTATACAGTCAAAAGTCTTTAATCCAGACGCTCCGGGACTTCGGCAATTCCAGATTATCGATCATCAGTTAAAATCTGGTAAGATGGCATGCAGAAATTATAAAATTAAAAATATGAAACCGTAATTTATGAAATAAAGAACAATTATGATCTAAAGGGTATCAAAATTTACAAAAAAAAAAAAAAAAAAAAAAAAAAAAGATTGATATTTATTGTTTACTTTATAAACATTTCTTTCAATGTAAGTTGTTTAGTGGCTTCGTTTTATGTGATAATACTTTCTGTTTAATTCTATAAACAGACATAATTTCTTGTTCAGTTACAAAGTTCCGCTGTTCAAGTCCTATAATTGCTGTGTTGAGAATACCGACTAATTTGTCAATCGAAATTTTCATTTTCAATAACTTCTGTGTCACTTTCTTCACTATCGGAAGCGAATTATAATGACGAGGAATTTGATTTAAATCATATCAAAGACGGAGTACATTTAGATGAAATACTACATTTAGTACGGAATTATAAGCCAAATAAAATAAAAACATCTGCTCTGAAGATAAGGATAGTGCTGACAGATCAACTTCCAGTTCATTGCGCGCTACGACGTTCCCCTCCCCCACGCAGAGCAGTGTGAATTGATAAAATTTTGGAATGGTTAGAGAAACAAAGGATATGCCTTTATCCATTTTTTGCAGCAATTCTACTTTTTGTTTGATGGACATCGAAACATACTTTCGCTTTGTAGATTCTTTGGCAGCTTCAGCACTGGAAATTCCATTTGACATAATCGAAAGTTCAAGCTTACTTTTATAAAATTGCTCCAACAGTCTGCAAAAAATAATAAGCCGGATCCAATTCGAAGATTAAGGATCAACGCAATCTGTAACATTAACTGAAATAGATAATTAGTTAATTTTAGCTTAGCTTATACCGTCCGTTATACAATAAACGCATTATGCACATGTGCACACGCATGCGTAAGGGTTTTACGCGCATGTGTAAATGCCTATGCGCATGCGTGAACGCATTATGCGTTGACGCATGAGCAGAAAATTTGTAGCTTTGATTATAGATCATTCCAGATTATATATATTATTTAGGTCCGGATTATAGATCATTCCAGATTATAGGTGCCCGGATTAACGACTTTTGACTGTAGTAAGCTATTTTCGTTTCATCTTTTTCATTGTAAACAACCGGAAAAAATTCATCCTTCATTATTTAAATAATTTTAACAATGCGCATAAACCACATTTGGCATTATTATTGCTTATAAAAAATATGTCAAATTTCGAAATATGCCAATATGTAAATTCACATATATCCTAGGAAATTTTGAATAAAAAACAAATTTTTTGCAATGCCTAGAAATACATCTACTTAGATGATGGTAAAAATTTTACAGGTTACAATTCAAAAATATTTTTTGAAAAATTTATAAAAATTATTTAAAAATACAAATTTTAAAAATAAATCATAAAATATGTCGAATTGTATTTGGAATGCACCTAAATTTCGAATTCTGGAAGAAGGAATCGAGTAAGTGTAATAAAAAAAGAGATATTAGTCAATATATATAAAACTCAATTAACACTGAGAAGCTAAAATTTTAAGAGGTAATTTATTAATTGGCAGGTTGGCATAATTTTAGTCATAGAATCGAAATACGAAAAAAAAAATGGCATGTCATTTCAGAGAAAGTCCGATTTTGTGTCAAAATACCTATATTAGAACAATGCTATATATAAATTTAATTAATATCTTAAGTCATGCTTTTGAGACATGAAAAAAGGAAGTTGACTTTCATGGATCGGACCAGTAGAACGGGAAATATAGAGCTGGTCTTTTTTTTTTTTTTTTTTTTTTTTTTTTGCGCAGTGTACATAGATCTGCTACAGTTATGCATAGGAGTAATCTTCTGAAATAATATTTATAGTTTATATTTTGAACGTTTTCTCTGTTAGAACAGTCTGAAGTATTTTCCCTCATACCTCAAATGCATAGTTACACAAGTTATATACATAAAGAGAAAACTTCGAACCTTAACATTAATTTTTTACCTTAACAATCATGAAACCATGATCCATATGAAACCAGTTTTTACCATAACAATCATGAAACCATTATTTACATAACGATCATGAAACTATTACACATAATATTGAAAATTTAGCATACTAAAAAAATAAAGGCAAAAAATTATAAAACATAAACTTATAATGTTACTCAGAATTAAAATTAGAAAAGGCTTTTAAATTTTTTTTTTTTTTTGAAATGCTATATTTCCTCAAAGGTAAGGCAATTTCAGTAACAATACAACAAATGAAAAGGGTACTTTTCCGTTTCGCCGGCGCAAATCTCGCCAAGCAGACTTTATTGACGACAACATACAGTATACACATAAAAAATATTAAAAAAATGTTAGTTCTAAGAATTCTTTTTTTGAAGGCATAAACATTTTAATATCGCTTAAAATTTTATAAAAAAACCAATAAATAAAGACAATAAATTTGTAAAAAGACATTAATTTAAGAATTTACTATGCTTTCATGGTTCAACATCCTGTTTCGCTGGTATATCACGTGACCCCAAGCGATAAATCTCATGTAAACTACTCTACAAAAATATGCTCAGTAATTATCTACATTAATTTAAGTTAAATCTTAATTTGGAACCAAGTTTAAAATGCAAGAATACTTAATTCGTACGAATGCTTACTCAGAAATTATGTAAAACTGCAGTGCTTACTTCGCTAAGCATCTCTTAGAACTGATGAATATAACCCTTGACTTTCCTTTTCTTATTTTCGGCTTGGGTAAGCGCGTGTGCAGCTAATGATTTAATTACCGAAAAGCCTTAGACATAAAACTGACCATCTGAATGAGGCGTAAGGTTACAGCGAGAATTCCTTTGTCATCAGTTGACAATTGGCGACTTTATCGCTTGCGAGGCAAAACGGAAAATACCAGAAAAGCAGGCAGGCTAAACTAAGGTAACTACAAAATATTATTCTAAAAGAAACCTATATGGAAAGGAATAATAGTCATATGCATTAATGCAAGCTCAAAAGGGTTGGGTGAATTTCGGATTATGGTCACTTGTGATTTTTTTGCGAAACTTGGCACCAATCCTGCTACAGCACCTGGTAGCTTTTTTTTTTTTTTGTTTTTTTTTTGGACGCCATTTTTTTCACGAAGTTTTTTATTTTTTTTTTTTTTTTTTAATCAACATTTTTTCACAATCTGCTAGCGAATTACTCTTATACTAGAACTTTTATGGAAGAAAAGTGCTTAAGCATGACGAAGATTAGGTGCGAAATTGGGAGAAAGTGTAGAATCGCCCACAGCTTGCCGCGTTTTAAAGAATTGCATATACACGGTACCCATGTACACGTCGACCTATTTTCACTTAAAAAAAAACATCCCATAATTGCACAAAAATGGAATTGCGTACACGCTTCACTTTATCTACGTACACATCGACCTATTTTCACTTGAAAAGTTAAAGAAAATTGACAAAATTCCAATTAATCCAAAAATCCTTCTTACTCTTGTAAAAAGTGCCAGACAAATTAATGGGCAATTCTGCACTTTAGCAGCGAAATTGTTTCTAAGTGCTTATTAACTAAACTCCCCATTGGAATTTTCCGGAAAATGTCACATGACCTGTCTCATGATCTCTCGTTTCTCTCAGACAAAATAATCTGTGATTTGAACTGTGTATTGCTAAAGTCCTAGCTAGTAACCTTTATCGCCTTACCACAATGTCACCAAACTACCTGTTACCATATTCCAAAGATTAGCCGGGGTTCTCAACCAGGGGGGGAAGCCGTCAGCCTTTTATGTAGCTGTTAAGTGCTTACTTTTAGTTTATGAATATAAAAAACTATTTTTATTCAAGTTTTGGTATTTACAACACTTTCTTTCCTTTAATAATATTTTTTGTTTATTTTTTATTATTCAATTTATAAAATATGATAAAAATAATCTAAATCTAAATAGATATATATGTTACCAGCAATGTATAAAAAGCCAGCACTCTATACAACACCCAGCCCTTTTTTAGAATAACGAAAACTGGTCTACAAAGTATGAAATAATTAACATTTCATACATTTTGTAGGCATTCTATAATGACAAACAGCAAAGTATGAAATGCATCTCTGATTCGTTTCAAATATCCATATATTTAATGCATTCATACATAATCCATACAGTCATAAAAATAAAATTAATAGGAAATATGTCCTCTTCTAGCACTCTATAACGCACTTAAGCATGGACTCTACTAACCTGTGCATATAATTTTTACTTTTTTTTTAATCAAACTTTTACATCATTTTGTAATCATGGGCTTTTTTGTCATACAATCCATTTCGCTAAGATGTTCACTGAGAATGTAAAACAAGTTTTCATCTGTATTTAAGTATGGTGAATTTCCAGGCCAATCTAGCACAATTTTATTTTCCAACATGAACCTTTAGACAGATTTTGAATTGTGGAATGGAAATGTGGTATACTGAAATGTTCCTGTAAAGGTTTTCGCAAATGGCACAATCCCATGTTTTAAAATTTCTACATACTTCAATGAATTTATCTTTCCGTCCAGGAGCGTAGCTAGAGGGGGACAAGAGGGGGCATCTGTCCCCTGGCGCAGAATCCAAGGGGTGCCAAACTGATGTTACGATATTTTAAAATTAAATGTTTTCCATCCTTGACAAGCAGTAGGGGGCACGAAATCTTCATTAGTCCCTGAGCGCTGAAAACCCTAGCTACGACCTTGTTTCCGTCAATAAGAACTAGATTTCCAGTGCCATCTGCAGTTAAAAAAAAAAAAAAAAAATCTGTAATTGAGGGTACGTTAGCGTCTGTCAGATATGCTGAGGTCTTATTGAGTAACCTTTGCTTTGTCTAACAATGCCAGATGTGTAACCATGAACATATAAATTAAGTCTCAATGCTGAAAATTGAAAATTACATTTTTTCAGTGATGTGTGCTCCAAGATTTGCATTTTTTTGGGGAGTTACAACAATCGCTTTGCTTCATTTGATGTCAAAAGCTGATTCTTTCTTGCCTTTTAAACAGCAGTGAGAATGCTATGCTGCATATCTGAACAATGAATATCAATGGCAACAGATCTCTATTACGGTTTTTTGCTAGTTTCTATTACATTAACAATGCTATTTCAGAGTAAGAACTGATCAGATTTGGGAGTTTTCCTTTTCCTCCAACATTCGCTATCCACTTTTATTATGTCTCTTCAGAATTCGAGAAATGCTTAATTTTTTAACACCAGCCACAGAAGCAATATTTGTTACAGTCATGGATGTGAGACTCTTAAGTACGATAATCTGCTTTCTTTCTAGGCATTATATCCATTTTTAGTATACTAAAGTGCACAAATGTAAATTACACTTAAAAATGATGCAAAATAAAGGTACTCTTCTGTTATCTGGACCGGATTCAGAAATGCAGGTATGTATGCATGCATGCATGTATGGGTGCATGTGTTCATGTATGTATGGATGGATGCGTGTGTGTCTACACACACACATATATGCACATATATACATACACACATGGTATACTTTTCTCAATCTGTTCCCCATTCCAGAAAAGTACCAAAAGAACTTCCTTTTCTGACAGAAACAAGCTTAAAGTGGTGAAATAATCCAAATTATTATTTAAACCAGTTGTAAGTGGTCAAAAGAGACATCCAGATCCAGATGACACAAGGCAGATAAAATCCTTTAAGGGAACTTCTTTGCCAGCTGACAACCAAATTAAAATTTTGTGTGAAAATCGAGCTGATCTTTAGAATATGGTAACTGGTAGTTTGGCGACATTTTGGAGGCGATAAAGGTACTTTTTTTACCTGGGATTAGTAAAAAATAATGCGAGCAGTACTCAGTTTCCGATACGAATTATTTTGTGGTGAGGGAAATGAGAACATGGATCTGTCATGTGATATTACTGGACGACTTACGGTTCTTTAATCGGAAAAGGGGGAAACGGGAACACATCTGAAATTGTATTTGTTTATTCTATGTTGTGTGAAAAGTGTCGTTAATTTTTGGATCCATGGCACTAACTAAAGTGAATCGAAAAGGGGTATTTAGTGGGATTGAAAGGGGAGTCATAGTCATAAGTGTTTCTTTACGGTTGTGCGAGATAGAAGTAAAGATGTTATTAAGTTATTTATTTTACAGGGTACCTTGCTGTGAACTATAAGTATGATTGTAAAGATCCGGAAACAGAAACTAACAAAAGTTATCGAGACAAGTAAAATCAAGATTCTGGAAGAAGATTAGGTAAGTTAGTATTTTAAATATTTGAGGATATTATTTTTATGCATTGTCTAAATGTAAGGTGGAAGTAAAAAGTAATGTGCGTAAACGGCAGAATGGAAATAATTTAAATATTTGACACTTAATTATTTGTACATGTTTGCGGAATGAATTCATTGGTGACGTGTGTTATAATATAATAGATAATTGCGAGTAACAGTTTTGGATATTTTATTTATTTATACGTTGGAAATATCATTTGGAAGAGGTATTACACTTTTTGCGATCAGGTAATTTCATAATGTTCTTTTTACGGGGTTGAAGATTCAAAAAATTGTCATGTATTTTCGTGAAATTTTTATAATTTATGAGAAAAAAGCAGGTAACATGGATATAGTGAAAGAATGTGCGCAAGCATTTTTGTGTAATTCGGGATGTTCTTTAAGTAAAAATAAGCGGCGTTACATGGTTATGTGTATGTTATTGAAACTCGAAGGAGTATGGTATTGTGCACTTTTTCCAATTTGCAGTGAATATTTGTCATGATTAATAGTTTGTGGATAAATTCTATCTAATGTATTGGCTATAGATTGTTGGAAGAAGTGTCAGTAATAACCAGTAAAGAAACGTTTACTCGGAGACAAAAGGCCGGGGGGAAAAAAAATAGAGGGTTGCTGTAGGAGAGTTGGTCGCCAAATGTTCGCCAAAAAATCGCCAAGTTACCATAATGTAAAGATCAACCGAAAATCGATTTTTCTCATTAATTTGCACATAACAGTAAATCTAATTTAAGTTTTACAATCAGAAAGGAACTTAAGGAATATATTTAAAAATAAAACTTTCGACAGAACTCAAGGAAACAGATACACATAAAATAATAATAGATAGACATAAATAACACTTAGTTAGTTATGAAATAAAAACAAATTATTCGTAAAAGTGAAAAATAATTCATTACGGAAATACAGGCCACTAGTTACCTGTCTAATAACATACATTTAATTTTTTAATATTAAACGCATGAGAATATTATTGAAAGTAATCTTGCAGAGGGCAACTATGTAGCTCTTCAATAAACATTTTCGAGGGTGATATTTGAAAATGTGGCTTAAGGAAAGATTCTCATTGCTTCACTAAAAACTGCAACTACAGGAATCTTTCGACTGCAAATTACTTTGTATAATTTAGATTGGATTAATGTCCATTCCATCGACTATTCCTGATATTAGGTGAAAAATTATTGAGATAATTTTAACTGCACAATTCTTTAACTACTTGTTAAACTAAACATTTTAACATACACGAAAATTAGGAATCAGGGGATATGCTTCATGATTTATCTACAAACTATTCATATTAAACATGTCATATTCATACATCAAATACGCATTTAACATAACTATTTAGATGTCACCAGGAAAATTAAACAATAAGTAACATATCACATTCTTACCTCTTTCTCAGATTCAAAAAGGAAACCGAAACTTTTAACGATTACGATTTAAAAATCTTTCAGTTTAGTGCATATAAGTATATTTGAAAATAAATATATCATTATTATTAAAAATAAAATTCGAATTAATTATAAAGTTTAACCTTCATTTTTATATAATTTTGTGTAAAAACCATGCTTTTGTATAATTGATTATTCAATAAGATTTAGTAAAAGGATTAATTTTTTAGTGCTTGCATTTTACCCGCGGCCGGACCACTAAACGTGCGACTGGTTGCGCAGAGACATTTATTATGACATCTGCGCATACCAACCAGTCGTACAATTACCTTTGTTTATATTTACATTGCTTACGGGCGTGATTCTCAATCTTTTCGAAATCGGGGATCAAGGCAGTTCAAAGCACCAACCTAAGGCTCCTCTAGAGAAGCCTTACACTAATCCCAATTGCTTGTATATGATAATTCGATAAATTTCCATTTTCAAATAACAGTGGTTATTATTATCTGTTGATATTCCGAAAGTAAAAGGCGAAGTCTGATATTTCTTGGGGGAAGTCTTATCTGACTAAGCTGTTGGAACGAGACCGCTTCCGACCTAATGCAACCTCGAGGGTGCCAAACAGGATTAATACCGCCCCGCTCTTGAATCAATCTCCATGTTGCGACCCCACAGAGCAAGGGCAGACAAGACAGTACTAGTACGGTCCCTGCCGAGCCTTACTCTGTCCTGAGAGCCTCAGGTCTTCTGTGAAGTCTGTTATTATGTTCCCGTGGTTGAGACTGCCTAGGTAGAGATCCTAACCAGTGGGAGTCTTATTTGACTATCGTGGGAACAAAGGATTTAATGTATTGAGCTCCTTATACTTGCTGAAAGATATACACTATTAAACTTAATTCACTCGTCAGTTAAAAAAATTGCAATACGTTTGGCTGCAGTCTCCAAAAGAAAAGAAATTCTCACCTGACAAAATAAAAGTATGGTCTCTCTTTACAAAACATGCAATAAAAAATTAATAACTTCTTTAATAGTTCGGAATTAAAAGAATTTAAATCCATCCACCAAATCAAAACGATGTCACAGTACCAGCAAGAACACAGTTTTTATTTCCAGGATCCATTGCTGAAATTATAAGTTTCTGGTACGGTTTAATGGAATATCCCAAGAACTGTAACAACCTGAAAGAAGTACTGATAGACACGGCACTCGTTAACCTGTCAAAGACCGTTATTCTGGAGAGAGTTGCCAGTGTCTGTGATAAAGCGAAAATCATTCGGAAATGCGTTATACAAAACAATCTCTGCATCTTCGGAGGGCCTTACATCGGAATCATTGCAAAATACACACTTAAGCGATGAGGAGGGAAGTGCTGCAGACGCTTCTACGTGTCATTCAAGAATTCCGATATGTTTTCTTCTCATCTTCTAACATAGGTCGAAGGACTCTGCCACAGCATAGAATTGATACGAGAGATCATGAACCAATCAAACCACATCCAAGATGTTTCCCGGTTGCTAAACGGGAAGAAGTAAGAAAACTAGTAAAGGGCATGCAAGAAAGCGACATCAGAGACTTCAGTAAGTCCTTGGGCTGTCCAATCGTTCTGGTCAGAAAGAAAGCCGGTTCGACTAGATTTTGCATTGACTATGGCTGGTTGAACAAGATTACGAAAAAAAACAGCTACCTTCTTCCTACAATTGACAACATTCTGGACACTCATTTTGGAAGCAAGTGGTTTTCGACGCTTGATTTAAAGAGTGGATATTGGCATAAAGAGATACCTCTTTATGAACGAGAAAAGAACGAGACTTTATGAACGAGACTCCATGTCCATTTACTACTGGACAAGGAGTTCGGTAGTTCAAGGTCATGCCATTAGGATGGTGTAATGCGCCGGCAACATTCGAACGCCTCATGTAAAAACTGTTGAGAGGCCTTTTCTACCAAGCCTGCCATATATATATGAATGACATCATTATAGCCGGGAAGAGTTTTGAAGAGCTTTTACGTATTAATAGGAAGGTGTCTCAGAAATTGAAGAAAAACAATTTAAATTAATTCTGGCCAAATGTAAATTTCAGACAGCAGGTGACTTATCTTGGACATGTTATCTCTGCGGATGGTGCATGTTCGGATCCAGATAAAGTATCGCCATTTGAAAATTGGAGTCACACCGAAAATGTCCATCAGCTGAGAAGTAGCCTGGGGCTTTGCACCTGCTAAAGGAGATTTGTGAAGGACTTTCCTTCAATCGCAAGACCCCTTTCTCAAGCTGACAGAGAGCCAGCAAAAATTCTTTTTGACTAAAAATTCAAGGATTCTTTTAACAAACTTAAGGGAACTTTAACATCTAGGTCAATCCTCAGCTCGACAAACCATTTATTCTTGACACGGATGTAAGCAATAAGACTGTTGGTCTAATTTGTCCCAAGAAAACGGTCAAGAACGATATATGATAGCATATTGGATCAGTAAACAGGAGATGAATTGCTGTGTCACCAGAAAAGAATTGCTTGCCATAGTTAATGCAGTAAAACATTTCCATCATTGTCGCTAGGCAGAAAATTCCTGCACACAGATCAAATATACACAGATCACACATTCAAATACAGTTTAGGCTTGCTTTTTGAACGCATCGCCTTTAACATTCTGAGACCTCTGCCATGAACTGCTGATAACAACAAATACCTTCCCATTGTCTCTGATTACTTCACCAAGTGACATGAAAGGTATCCTATTTCTGATCAAGAGGCTGTCACGAAAGGTACAGCACTGGATTTCCAAGTTTGGTGTTGAAACTAAATAACGTTTGCATAATCCGAGTTCAGAAAACAAAACATTTATTTTACATATTTTAAAGAAATAACGTTCTGAAACAACATGTTTCTTCTACACAATCAATCGACGCTTTCACCAGAGCATTACGCCATCGAACTTGGCACACATCCAAAAGTTCAAATTGAAGAATTACAGAAGCGTTGTTGCCACACAAGAAAAGACATATAGTTACAACTTCACACAATAATAAAACAAAAACACACTTTTGAAAAATAGACAATAATAATAAAAAGTAATAATAAAATTCTTAACAATATTTTCTCGATTATGCAACATCCCCCCCCTTTTTGAGTCAGTGGCAAACGACTCAAAAACATAGGTTATCCTATTTAAAAGGTCTAGTACATCAAGTTTCTTAACAATCTGTCCTGATGACATAAATTTCTGTTTTATATGTTCTATGTCGGTCTGATCATTTTTCTTATCGTCGTTAGGCTCTTCAATTAAATAATTTTCATCTATTTGTGTCTCTAGTGGATAAATATGCTGAACGGGCCTTATGAAAATCCTGATTCTGAGTTCGTTAGATTAACTGCTTCGAACTTTGGATTCCCCCGACCAGGAATTTTCTGTATAATTTTACTCCAAAGGCCAATACAAACGTTTTTTGAAATCTTCCCCTATTAAGACTATCTCGCCAATTTTAGGCAACTGAGTTACTTTATTTTGTGGTTGTTTGATTATTAATTGCCCAAAATATTCTTTTCAGGAAATGGTTCCTTAAATCGTTTAAGAAGTTTTGCATGGTATTTAATTCTTCTCAGAAAATGCTGAGAGTCAATTTTATCTATAATTTGCTATATCCGAAGTACAAAAGTGCTTTCTCATGTTCAATTAACATACATTGAAAGAGTTAAAGGGATGTCATCTTCAGAGCTCTCCGAAATATACTCACGTTAAAAGTTGAGCACGAAGATCGAGAATTAATTACCAAATCACAATCGCAAATTAAAGTTTCCAGTTCTTCATAAGATAAAACCGATTTTCTCAAAGAGCGTCTCAAAAGTTCCTTAACCATGCGAACTAACCGTTCCCCACCAGGAGGCTGTTGGTGGATTGAATTTCCATACTATTATCTTTATCTTTTCCTCATTCTCTATTATGTCCCAGTTAAGTTTAGACATTTCGTTATAAGTTCCTCGGAAGCTAGTCCCATTGTCAGAATAAATGGTTCGTGGTCTGCCACGTCTGGCTAATGAATCGTCTTAAAGCCAAAAGAAAAGATTCTGTTGATAACGAAGTCACCAGTTGTAGATGGATTGCCCTGTACACAGTGCATGTGAACAGTGCCATCCAAACCTTCTTACCGTCTTTAAAAAACAATGGGCCAGCTAAATCTATTCCCAAAATTTCAAATCCCTCTAATCTCCTACACGATCTTCAGGAAAAGCAGTCACTTCACAAGACATGGGTTTCGCTTTATATCGTTGACATATTACACACCCTTTTAACACATTACACACAGTTTTATGTTGTTTTAGTATCCAGTATCTTTCTCTTAAAATAGATTGAAGCATTTGAGTTCCAGCATGACAATGTTTCTTATGAACTGACTCAATTAACAATGTTAAAGTACATTTACTCGGTAACAAAAATTGGTGTAAAATTCAGAATTGTCTTTACGTTCCAATATTCTAGTTTAACTCTTATAATATTTTCATTATCAATGAATACATCAAGTGGATCAGAGCTCCAATGTCGGGAAATTTGAGCTTTGAACCACGAATCAAAACTTTTTTCGGAATTTATGATTTCAGCAACAGTTAGTTTAGATTCTTTACACAAATTGACTTTTCCTACAGTTAGAAATAAAGTAAACACCCAACCGTTACACGAATTTTTTCATAATCGAAACTCTTTCTGCATACCAAGGAGTGGTATCCTCTGAAAAGTTAATATTATAAGTTTTACCTTCCTCTTTTCCAAGTCAGCTTCGTTCGGATGACAAACAATATTAGTAGGCCAAAATTCAGGGCTTTCTCTTAGCCAGAGAGGTTCCTTAAACCACTCCGAGTTAATCATTTGTTTAGCAGAGCAACCCCGAGATAACACACCTTCAAGGTTCATATTACAGGCACATGCCTCCATGATTCAGGTTTCGTCAACTTAGTAATTTCTTTAACACGATTGGTTGCAAAGTTCGACCAATTACCAGGATTTCTGATCCACCATAATGTGACTGTGGAATTACATCATAAAGTTACATTTATATCA